AGCCGCAAGGACACCAGTAGTGGTTGGTGTTGAGCGACGCCCACCAACCCCCATCTTGAAAGGAAGACACAGCTATGTTGCACAGATAAAGAATGAAAAAAGTATTGCTGGTACTTCTGGCATGTATCTGCCAATTCTCAAGAGTGAGGATTGTGCTGCAATAGTAGAGGGGGCTACCTCCACTAGTATGTGTGGTGCAGTATGGTTTGTAGAGGGTGGTCACATGATCAGCATATGTTGTTGCAATGGTGCAAAAATGAAGGGCTATAAAAGACTGGTGCTCTTAGAGGGCAATTAAAGTTGAGATAGCTTTGGATGAACAGAGGTAAGTACCTATTAGAAATACGTTTTCAGTGTACCACATAGCAGCCTGAAGGATCTCCTCTAAAATATGGAGGTTGCGAACAGTTAGAAGACAAATTTGGTGTGAAGAAACATGATGGTGACCACCCAAGGATACATCAGAATACACCAGTCATATGAGTTAACGAACCCAACAAGTGAGTGTAATAGATGAAAAGATCATGGGAAACATAGGTATTCCACGGAACAAAGTGAATGAGAACCACGAAAGGAGGCAGTACGAGACATATAACATAACAGGTAACAAGCTGGACAAAGTAGACAAGCTGGATCTGAACTGGAGAACAGGTGGGAAAAGGAAGTTAAGGAAATAGGAGTAGAAGCCCAACAACCTTCCCGAGTAACCAATGTCCTGAGAAGGAAGGCCTGACCTGGATAGCAGATAACATAAGAAGAATGGTAAAATATGTGGGAAATATTAATGACATAAATATCAAAATAACAATGACCTCATGCCAGGAGGGAGAAGAAATAAGTCTTAATGGAAAAATTATAAAAAGAACACATTGCAAAGGGAGAACATACAGGGCATGAAGGACAACATTGAAATTCCAAACTGGCAGAATAAAGGAATGTGAAGGATGGACCAGATGAAAGGACCGGAAAAGGAGGGATATAACCGGGGAAGAGAAGGCATTCCAGATATAGGAGAAAGGAAGGCATTCGACAGGGTGGCACTATAAAGAGCAACAGTTGAAACAGACAAAGTCTGAACAAACAACCAGATGAAGAACTGAGACAGGTAATGAACAGAAGTCATGGCCAATAGACCAAAGTTTCTGGTACACAGACAAGGAAGAAGGGTGAATGGTACAGTCAAGGAAAGATACCACAGGATGGGCAAGTCCCAGAATTGAGGCACGGGACGAGACAAAAGTTACATGTGAAGCTGGAGCGTGGTGACATTGGGATGAAAAACATCCAATCGAGGTTGTCAGTGGAGCAATCAAGACAGAGATAAGGGCAGGACTGTAATTCCAGTAAGGACCTGAGCAGAAGGGACCACGTCTGAGCCAATCAATATGGAGCAACAGCAGAAAACAACAAGGTGTGATCTTGATAAAGGAAAAGACCCAGGCAAAGAGTCTGATCAGAGAGTAGACATATAGGCATCCATCCCAAGAGCTGAGAGGTGAGGAACTAGAGACCAAAAAAAAAGGAAGAAGTGTGTGTGTGTGTGTGTGTGTGTGTGTGTGTGTGTGTGTGT